GATAAGCCCTCAATTTTTATAAGAGGGCAATTAATTTTTAATTTTAAGCTCATAAAGCTAAAAGTGATCTACTGATCGTAAAATTTTCTATGTTATGCACTTACAATTACCAACAGTAAGGTACTTATGTATAAAATAAGATACCTATTTATGAATAATTAACATATATCCTATAAGTATATGCTATACTACTATTAGAATAATTGTTTTGTCTCATTTAGTTACTTAATAATCAAACATTAGATTTATGTTAATTGCCTACTAAAGTCAGATTTCTGTGTGTGTTTGAAATAATTTTATTTAGTATTTTAGACTCTCCCAACAAATCATGATGTGTAAAATGCATATTTTACTATTTTTACTAATTACCGCATTTTGTTATCATAATATCATAATTGTTCCAGGTATTTTCATAAGATACACAAAAAATAAAAAATTTAACTATAATATCAAAATCAATTTAAAACAGTTTTAAATAGACGTATGTAAAATTTGGTAAAATTAACCTCTGAGGAAATGTAGCAATTGATATTATGTTCTGTAGGTATTCCAATATCTACTATGGATAACACTAATAATAAATCATTATTTAAACTTAAAAAGATAATTTCTTCAATGTTTTCTGTGTATCATGTAGATTAAGGATTAATTAATAATTAAAATACAGATTTTTCGAGAGGCTAATTTATTTTTGGAGGTGCTGAGCCTCCTACAAGCTCTCCCTAAATTGCGCTTTTGACTTGGGGTTAAATAGGGATTAGGCAGTAGGATTTAGCTTTTCTACCACTGATAGTGCTTCTAGGACGTCTCCTTTAATTAATTCTTCAAACAGTRTGCTGGAACAATTTTTATTTTCAAAAATCTATTATTTAATATTTTTCAGTATTTATATGTATATTTCTTTTAGTCAAGTAACAAAATATTGGCCAGGTGGGCCTTGCTAATGATTGATTAGTTTAATGTATGAGTAATTAAAATTTTATATAATGTACCTAATTCACAAGAGAAGTTTAAGTAATGTTTCTTTTGGTTTTGTTAAATTTAATTTTTTTAGTTTATAATCTGTTATAGTTAAAAACTATTTTGTAAAATTAAGTAAAACATAAGTTATGCGTCTAGCAATATATTTGTATCTATTTAATTAAATTTAATTATATTATAGGTCTTTTAATTCTATATAATATGGATATTTTTGCTAACTATTTTTGAGTTTATTTTGAAAAACTACAATTTAATATACATTTTGTACAATAAGTAATAAGTAATATTAATGATTTTCAGACAATTGACAAGTTTATATTCACACGAGACGGAAGTAACATATTTGTGCTCTGCTACCTATTAACAAAAGTAATTAATATTTCAAGATAAAATATTTTCGGTTCAACAAATTAATGAATTAAAGTACGGAAAAACATGCATGGAATATTGAAAAAATATGAATATGATTTAGAACACTGCAATTTTAACTCCTGCCTACCACTAAAGAAGTAAGTAGGTACTTTTATGTTTAAATATAATATTATTTGGTTGATAATCAAATATTTTTTTTTAATAGTACAATAAGGGTACAACTATAACACATGGCAAGTGCACAATAACTAATAAGCATTTTTCAAGTTTTACATGGCATCAAGGAGCACCTATGTTGGGGAATTCCGAATGCTGATTACCGTAAACTGATGATTGATGAGTGATACATTGATAATGTTCTTGTCTATGAGCACTGCACATCGAAGGTGATATATTGCCATCAATTATCAAGATTCAAGATCAAAGTACAAATGGTTTACCTACCTATAACACAAAAGATTTTCTGTAATAATTTATTCTGTATTTTTAATAGCCATTTGTATATATATTATATTTTATAGCTATATTTTAATATTTTATTTAAAATATGTGGTCGTTTTAGCAGAAATCTGCAGATAGCAGCTGCAGCTGACTTGTGATTTAATGATTATCGGTTTGGTGACAAGCCGACTACTATACTATTATAGTAAATACATGGTTTCTACAGTCTGTGGCATTTCATGTGCTAATTTCTACAAATAATTTTATAATAAAATGTATTTATCCTCGTCCGTTTGTGAGCGGTGACGTGTGTGCTGTGGTAATACTACATTTACTTTTATCTAATATTTCTATCTATTCTGTGATTTTACACTTGTCTTCAGCAGTATTAAAACATGAGAACATACAGCACGTATTTTATATACTAACGTCATAACTACATAGCAAATGGCATACGTGAAACATGTCTACTGTCTAGTTACTAGTTAGTGCTTAGGAGTCACTACAAAAGGTTAGGTTGTAGTCAGTGATTCACTTGTATTCAAGTCATATTGTGCATTAGTGTGTATTGTCTACCTTACCGACTAGTGACGGGACACGGGACATCTAACCATAGCTGAGGGCCTGAGGCATAGATAAATTATATTAACTATATTATATACTATTTAATTTATTATTCATAAAACCAACATATGGAATGGGGGGGGGCGTTAAATATAAATTAAATTAAGTATTTTACAGTTTTAGACTTTAGTATTGTTAAATAACCCCCCCTCAACTCGTGAAATCCACTGCAATCAAGTTGAATTCATCAATCGCTTTGTATGATATTTGAATTGTCACATTCCCGCCAATTCAAAACCATTTGGTACGACGACGACTACGTACCCAATTTTTGTCTAACTCATCGGCAACACTGTCATTGCAAACTCAAGCGTACCACTTTCGCGGACACGTCGCGGCCCCCGGTGGTCGGTCGACGATTTAATAATAATATCTTCGGCGCCGCCAGGGTGCGCTGCGCCGAGCGACTCAACTCCGCATTTCCCATTCGACGACGACGATTATCCCATTCACCTTCCATTTTGTGAGCGATACTCCTCGTGTTCGATTTCTCCGTTGTAGTCTGCATATTATACGCAGAGCGAACGTCATCGCCGTCGGTTGACCGTCCATTTTCGTTGCCGTTGTGTTTTTTTTGTATCCTCCATAAGTCCATCAAGAGTCTCCAACAGCCGTCGCTGGATTGTATTACCACCGGCGTGTGCCAGTCCGCCGTTGTCATTTTTTTCGTCTTGTGAGTATGAATTGCACCGAATTTTATACGGCCAACGTTAAATTATTGCAATTATTTCAATTCGGTTGACGTCTCAAGACGTGTGTGATTTTTTTTTATTATTCATTCTATCGTTCTCTTTGCTCCTCGCTCTCGCCCCCTTCTCTCTCATCCCACTCTGTCTATCTCTTGCTCTCTCTCTCTCTCTCTCTCTCTATCAAGAACATCGACACGCGTACACCACCGTGTGCGGTGTGCCTATAATATGGCGTGTGTATGCGTGTAATTGTTATAAGTGTACAAGCGTGTGTATCGTATAAATGTGCGAGTGTGTGTGTGTGTACGTGCGTAAGCATATGTATATATGAAAAAACTAGGGCATTGTGAAAGGCAAGCGAATATTACAAATTTTTTTTTCCTCTTAAATTTTCATTTCTCGTGGATAAATTACTGTCGATAAACGGTTCTTCCTGAGCCCTCACCCTACAATTGCTCCCCTTAAATGAATATTTTTTTTCCGAATTGTACTTTGGTAGCTTTCTACGTATTCTTGAACCAAGTAGTAGGTACTGTGGGTGTCGATTGTTATTATTATTTTTATTTCGTTCTTTCTACATACTTCGATTTCCGTAACATGTTTCTGACTGACATTGGTAGCCTATTTGTTCTTCTGACTTGTAATCCTTCTTTTTCTGGTTGATAATGCACCTTAAAAACTAACAGTTTGTCTTGTCTTAGTTGAAATCATTAAAGGTAAAACGTGTTTGGCATTATCAAACTGGTTTTTTTTTCTCAATGAGTACAATCACTTTTAAGGAAATTGGAAAGTTTTATTGACAACTATTATTTACCTAAGTAAATTTGTAATTATCATATTATGCAGGKACATTATCACTTTTTAGTACCTTGGTAAGGACCTTGTATAGATAMCTTATTATTTTTTACAGCTATGAATATGTAGTAACCGAATTTTATGTTTAAAAATAAAATTGATGAAATATAATTTTTATGCAGTAATAATATAGGGCAATAATTTTTTTAACCCTTAGCTTTGCTTTTAAAAATTAAATAAATAACTACTCTACCTCATAAAAGAAATGAATCACTTTWTGCATATCATGAATGATATGATTGGTGCTTCAAAAACAACATGATTATGCTAATACCAGTAGTTGGTGGATGATCCACTAAAAGTTGGCCGGCTGATTTATTATTCTCTTTTGAGACAATATAGTTATATTATAATTAAAGTATTTAAAGCTTAGGTAACTACAAAAATAACAATTGGTAAAAAAACTTGCAAATCAAAATAGACTTGAAAAAACATGTTTCATAAAAATTAAACAAATTATAACCTTTTATGACGATATACTACATAGCATAGATCAATCTCTATATTTGATCAAAGAACCCAGATTGTCATTTGAAAACAGAATGTCTGTATATAAACATTTAATTCTGTTGATTTTTGGTTAGGTTAGATATGGGTACCTTTGTAACTAATAAAATGCTATTATAACATGTAGATAGTAGACATGGGTACTGACTATTAGCACCCATACTTTACCACCCCATGACCCAACAACCTATTTTATTGGGTGCGGAAATGAGTGAAGCAATATATAATATTAATAYCTATACTATGGGAAATATTATATGTAAGCACCCCATGAAATTAAAAAAAAAAACCTGATGCCTGTAATTTTAGAGCTATACTACCTATAACACCTACATTTTTACTTTTTCTTTAAGGATATTAGTAAAAATGTATTTATATCTTTATATTTATTGTTTTAGGAAATAATTAAATAAAAATGAAGGTCCCCAAGGAAGAATCCAAAGAACAGAATAATGACAATACATTAAATGATGATGATAATTTGAGTAATCCATATGATACAGAATCAAATTCTGATTCAATTGATCCACCAACAAGAGATGGAGATTTTTCTGAATATATGTGGATGGAAAATCAAGAAGAATTTGACTTACAGGTATTAATTAAAAGCATAATAACCACCTAATTTATTCCTTATTAAGTATTTATTAGAATATGTGCAAAAAACAAAATTATCTTAGTTCGGTTATAGATAGTTATCATAGTTACATAGTTATACAATTGGTTTTTTAGTATAGTATTATGATCCATCTCTTTGGAGTTTTTGGTGACTAAAATTATGCTGTCAGTCTCTAATTTTGCTATATCCATTTAAACTGCTTAATAAAAATGGTTGCAACTAACCTAATAGCTGGTAGTATAATTTTGGTCACTGAAAACTTATGGGATACCTTATCTGTTTATTATAAAATCAACCATTTTATCATAGTTATGGTTACTGAACTTAAAAAGTCATAACTGCAAAATGTTTATTAGTCTACTAACTTCGAGTCTTACTTTTTCATGTTCGTCAAAAAAATTATGGATATCATTTTGATAAAATATTTTATAACTTATAGGTTATGAAAGAATTAGAAGAAAAAGAGTTGATGAAAGAATGTCTTGAGGCTATGTTAGATGACGAACAACATAGCAAACAGAATGGTTCAGCAAATGGAGATGCTCAAACGTAAATTACATTTTTTTTTATTACATAATATATGTTTATTTTTCCTGTTTAACTTTTGATTAAATATAGACTAAAACCCTGTGTTGTTGAAGCCTTAATAAATTTAAATATTTATAAATATGTTTATTTACATACAAATTTGACTCATTATTGTTTATAGAAATGGTTCGAGTAGCTCTACCTCAATGATTACCCATAGACTTGATCATATGAGCTTAAATTCATCTTGCAATAGTGGTGATCAGCCAAGGCAATCTACAGTAAGTCTGGTTTTTTTACAATTATAACTATAAATATATACAATATGAATTATCGATTACTAGTTAAACATTGTGTTGTTAAAATTTAACAATGACACTCACAAATTGTCTTAATGTTTATGAATAAATGTCATGAAAGTCTTAAGCGCAATTTAACTATGTAGGACAAGCAATATGTGAAATTATAAATTTGTCTTTTAAAAATATATTTATGTGGCAAGTAAAATCTATCAATTTTGATACATGAATTGTATTAATTAAAATTGTACACTGCTTTAAGTGAATAAATGTAATTGTTTCTTAGAGTCATTTTCAAGTTTAGTGTCATCTGTTTTTTAATTATTTTTTCTTATTCACTGAGTTTTATAATTATTTTATGATTCTTGTAATTTAACTTTTATAATATTATATCTGTCATAATTATTGTTAAGATAATGTTTCTTTGTAATAAATCTTTAATAAAGATAAATAATTCTAAGATGGTTGTAATCAATTGAAAATAACATAATTCAAATAATAGTTCTGTTAAACAATATTGATAAATAATTTTATTGCACATGCAGTTCTTACTTGTTTATTAGTACATGTTTATAGTTTATATCTGTATAATTTAGATAATAGGTCAAAATTAAAAATATGAAGAATAGCTATCAAAAGTTTATTTACTGTTTATAAAATAAAAAAGCACAACAAATATGCTATTATGCTGACCTCTTAATTTTTAAAACAATATTTTTTATGAATTTTACTATTCTATTGCTTAAATATTTTTAAATGTGTGTTACAGAGTACTCTAAATCCAGATGCAGCTGAATTTGTACCATTAGCAACCAGGTCTCTGAATAATGCCCCTGTGGTAGTAGCAAGTCCTTCATAAACGAGAAATAAATATTTTTAACATACAACTATATATTATAAATATATATATATATATAAAATAAAGTAAATAGTAATCTATCACCACAAAGTATAATATATTTTCATACTAAACAAAACATACATTTTCAATAATTGACTATGATGAATTTTTTTGTAAATCTTCATAATACTCATAATGTTTCACTCAATTTTATCATAATTTAAAATTACTGAATTACACATATATGATAAAAATTGCCCTTATGTTTTGATCAATAATGTCATTTCAAATAATTCAAAATTATTATCGATTTTTATATTGTTAACAATGGAAAGTTATAGTACAATGTTTATAAAAATTAAAATAAACAAAATGCTAACACAATCCACGTTTAAGTATATTGCCACTTAGTAAACTTGTAATGTTTTCCAATCTATTTTATCTTTTAGTTTATAATTTTTAATTTAGTATTCATATTATAATATTAATTTGATTGTTTATTATATATTATTTTATTTTTTAACAAACTTTATGAATAATGGTAGAATATTGGTTCATTATTGAATAAATATTTATGCTTATAATAGTTATTTTACTTTCTGTAGATGAATAAATAATATTTTGGCAGACTATTAATAAAAAATGTTAGCTAATTAAAAACATACAAATAATTGATTATTGGTGTTTACTTAATTTTTTCCCTGCCTATGATTTATCTTTCTTTTTTAATTTCTTTGGAAATTCTTTTTGAATGTGTTTTGTAATCTTACATGAAAATAGTTTTAGTCTAAGAACTTCAGATGGTTTGATTGAAAGTTTCTTTAATTTATATAATATATATATATTTAGGTGTATACATTTTTAGGGGGTTGCTTATTGTAATATTTTTTATCGATTCAGGCAAATCATTATTCTGTTCACTTTTGTACTCTGAAAAATTATGTTAAATGATTATATTTTTTTTTATTTTAAAAACAATGCCAAAATACTAATATTTTCAATTATATTATGTTTTAATTTCTATTCTTTCGCAAGCCTAATAAATAATTAATATTTTTTAAGTACAAATGTGTTGTTTATTTAATATTATTTTATATAATATTTTAATTATATATTAGTGATGTGATAAGTAATATTTTTGTACGTCTCAACTCTTTGTAGTCGTTTTATTATTAAGTAACATGTGTAATGTTTCATGGCTAAATTAAAAGAAATATGAATCGTATAATGAGTGATTATTATTTTAATAAGCGTGTAGAATTATTTATGTTTTTTTTTTTTTGATGTACCGTGTTAGTTACATTTTAATGTTTTTATGTAATTATTAATTTTAATAATATGGTTTTGGGAATTTTTAAATAATAATATTTTGGATAACTCTCGTCAGATTGATTGGTACTGTGTTAAATTATTTACACTCAATTTTTTTTTTTACATCTCCAATGAAGTTTAAAATTTGTATCTTGATTTTCTGTTACTGTTTTGTTATTTATATTGTAATTACAAAATTCAGTATCATCTAAAATAATATTTATCTTACGTTTAAGTGGTAGATAATAATTTTATCCGTACCAATAGCACATTCTTAAATGAACGAACATCTTAGTTCTGACGAGAATTATATCCAATTAAACATTACAATACTGATGTGTAATTAAAATATAATAATATAATTTGTGTTTTGATTGCTAAGTTGACAAATTAATATTATTATTCRTGTTACCTTAAATTTAAATAGTTTATTTCATACTATTATATTATTCTGAAATATAAACAACACTCAGACCTAACAATTTCTAGGATAATGTGTATATGTATTTAAATTTTGTGGGTTAAATTAAAACTATTAATTACAGTATATAACTGATGTAATAGACGTTCAAAAGTATGTTAATTAAAAAAAAAAAAAAAAAATGTTAATTCTCTAAAACTTTTAAAATTGAGCTAAGTTATTTGTTAATCAATTTTTTTAGGTAGGTTGATTTAGTGTACACGTTTTTAAATGTAATAAACTTTGTGATAAGCCAAAGTATTTTTTATTGTTAAACAACACAATATGAACCTAGCACTTTATTATTGTGGTGCAGTTCAAAATTGAAATATTTGTTTATTTTCAAACATTTGAAACGATATAGAAATAATGGTTATTTTAAACTTATGTTTCAAACTCAAATATTCGATATTTAAAAAATTGATAGAACATTTTTATTTATATTTTTTCATGAATATAAACTCCTAATATGTACATTTGATTTTCAATCTTTGGCTGTTAAATCAGTATATGAATATATAGAAATTCATGATCTTAGATTTAAAAAGAAAATTTTTATGAATTTCTAGCTTAAAATAATTTGTGATTTTTACGTATTTTRTCGAAATTCAAACTTTGAATGCTTATAAAAAARAATTGTGACTGAATTTCTTTTATTTTTCAACTGCTATTGTAACAATATGTTAAGAGCCTTGTATTAAATTTTCAAGCTTTTCTGCCTAACAAATAAATTTTTATCGATATTAATTTAAAAAAAACTTATAATGATCGAAAATTTGAAATKCCTATGAATAGTTCAACTTAAGTCGAAATTTTTTGAAAATTGCATGGTGGATAGAATATACTTATATAAACATTAGGTGAAAATTTCATGTATCTATGGTCATTTGTTTTAAAGTTACATCAAAAACTAAAATCGATTTTGTCGAAAAATGAGTGTGCGTAAAATTTCCCGTTTTTCCCTTAATTATCAGTTTGTTTTTCTCAATTATTTAGAAAAGTATTAAGAATTTTTTACTTTTGACCCACCAAAGTACCAACTAGATTCACTTTCTGATCGAACGAGGTACTGAAGTCAAAAATCAAAGCATTTTTACTGCCCCAAAATGTGATGACAGACACAAAAAAAACAAAATCAAAAAAAACACACATCATGGTAAAATCAATACATTCATCGCTCCGCTCAGAATCTAATATATAGAAATTCATGATTTTTAAAATAAAAGTAAATATTGTCATTACTTAAAACTGTATATAGTAGAACAATTTATTTGAATAGTTAGTTTGCTTATCTCCTATTATACCTATTGGCTATTAGTCATTAGAAGTAAAAAATTAATAAAACAATTTAAAATTTAATGTAAACCAAAGAAATTAAAGTTAATTTTTATTATAAAATATTTTTAATCTTTTAAGTGTAAAGATTATTGCCTTTAAAGATGATTTGCAGTCTCAAAGCCAATAGTTATCACTTATCGTGTTGTATAATATTTTGTCTCGTTATTTATAATACAATTTATTAATCAACAATTTCCAAAATAATAAATGTATTAATTTTTGAAATTATTGAATATAACCAAAARTTTTGATATTTAATATTTAAATATTCAGTTGTATTCATAGTTGTTTAAATTGAGCATTTATTTTGTCCTTAAGTTTTTAAAATTAGTTGAAAGTGAATACTGAAAAGTTCTAAATGGAGTTCATGTTTTATATGATATTCTAGCAGTAGAATATTGCCAACATTATTTTATAACTGTCTAATTAAATTTTAAACAGATCTATCCTTTGTAATAAATAAATCTCATRTTACTTGGTATAAACTTCGAATGCATAACTAAGTTAAAAGTAAAAATTAATAAAAAGCCAACATCATTATTCTTGGCTAATATTTACACATTAACATGGTCTTATCAATTTACCACACGGATACTTTGAAATTGAAATCTTAATAAATTTAATTAACTTATCTTTTAGTGTAATAGAACCTTGTGTATACTTAAAACGTGTATCATTTTTTGAAGTTTTTTATCGTACAAGGTAACTTTATCTTCTTCATAGTGACATGATTAATTTAAAAAAAATTAGTACTGTTTTTATTTAACWCTTTAGTTCGTATAGTACTTAGTATTATATTTAATTTGAAGAAATATTCTATATTCTTTTCAACTAATACATTTACAACATTGCTTGTACTTACATAWTTTTTTTTATTTATCAGAGAATGTAATGTCATTCAAAAAACTTTCATCAATAAATTAAAAATATGTTTGATTTGTAAGAAAATAAATTACTGTTGAAAATGAMCTGCATAGGCCAGTGGCAAAGCGTCATAGAAGATAATCAGTCAATAACGATMATTTTTTCACCATGAAATCATTCTAATTTTTTGGTGTAATATTTATTGTCATTAAACCTGACTATTGATAAATGAGAATTTTAATTATGGTATACAAAACTACTCATAAGAAGAAAATAATAAATGAAAATGTTACGATATTAAATATATTTCATTTTCGAAAGTATGTTTTTTACAGTAATGATAAAATAAAATAGAAGAGATGAGTCTAAGAGTGAGGTGATTTCAAAKACAAATTTTTTTCAACGTCTCTGACAGGTAGAAATCCATTTGAGTTTCGGGATGGACTAACATTTTTAATATTAATGTGGGTGGCAGGGGGACGGGGGTAGAACCCACAGGCCACAACCAAGAATCTATCTGTTTTTGAGGGCTAAGATCCCCTTCTCACCTATACTCTTCCGCCTATTTTCTCCTATTTAAAGACTAGTCTTTTCTGTATAGATTGTTAATATAGCTTAAAAAAAAATTTGTGTCGAAATTGACTATACTGACCTACTCTTATATCAACTTGTGTTAAAATTTGACTCGAGTTAAAAAAATTTAGTACCTACGTACCTATTACTGTTCACGTCGGAATGAAAACTATTGAAAAAATAGCGTACTGCATTATAATTTTCAAACCAGCTATCGGAATTTTGTAGGTATATTATGATAATGTCTAAATTATTTTTAATAGTTACTACCTAGCCAATAAATCCCATTTATGGAAAAAACTATTATGTATTCGAAAAACGCCCAATCRCGCATTCTATTATATACYCAATATWTAACACTTATTGGTTACCTACCTACCTACTGGCTACTACTTACAGTCAAAAATATTAATTTGACTAAACATTTAATTTAATGATTTATACTGTATAATATTTAGTGTAAACACATCAGATGTTTACATATTTCCGTGGTTACGGGTTATCTTGACGAAAAATTGTTTAATAGAATAATTTCTGTATACAGATTATCTTGCAAAATGTCCAATCATGTGGCTCGTAAGTACTTACCTACGTCAATGTGGCTTAACAGCACAGACATTTTCTATATTTTTTCAAAAATAATAATAATATAATACCTAATTGGTACACTTCAAACATCAATATACAACTTAAATCAGTRAGAAATATATGAGGGATGGGGGGCAATGKACCACTGTCCATATAATAGTAATGTTTTGTTTCGATTAAAATTATTTAGACACTTCATAATTGTAACCCTCATTCCATCAGCCAACTATATTTTTTAGAAAACTGAGCAGCGAATAAAACGGATATACATCAATATCTCAATATAAGCTCGGAGTGTGTAGGATYATGTAATTGATATATTTGTAACTATTCTTCGACTCAACTATAATAGGTACTTCATATTAACTATACACCATACAGGATAATTGTTGATTAAACATTTTTTTTTAGTTTTAAGTATAATATTTTACCTAAAATAACAATATAGAAAAAATATTTTTAAAWTACTCAGAAATGTAAAGCTGGTACCTATGTATGTAACCTAACCTATTTGTAGCTCGTCCTTGACCAATGATATCACCTATATCGTAGAGATGCAGCTGCTGTATCTATATAACCCTGCTGCAGGGCTCACTCTCTATTTGCACTTTTGTATGTATTCATTTAGTAATATAGTCGTTAAATTTACGTAGGTATTGTAAACGATGGTTTTTTATTTTAGATCTTGCCCCAAAGCCCAAGTTATGGGGTTCTTGCCGTTTTTCCATAGCGTTTTGTGTTTTTTTGGCTTCGGTTCAGATGGCCATGCTCAGGGATAACCTCGGAATAGCGTTGCTGTGCATGTCGAAGCCTGTTGGGAACTTTACATGCGAACCAAACGACGCCACTGTTATACCCACTCTGCCGTGGATTGATCAAAAAAAGGTATACATCACAATATGGTCATATATAGGTATAGGTTCATGGTGTTCATCGTAGTTAATACATAAATAAAAGTATTTACCTGCATTCCTTGACTCCTTGTCATCGAATTTTCATTTTAATAATACACTTAGGTACCTCGCCTCTCTATAGTTTCCGAATTCTAATCATATATTTTTCATCTCATAGTTGTGACCATTGTGCTGACCAAAATATAAATCTGTTAAAGCCAGTTATTACCTATATATATAAATTAATGTTTTGTTTTTAACTATTTTTTTTTTTTAAGTATTATATAGTTATACCTTACATATAGATTATTTATATTGTATATTGCATACGCCGCAGGTAATTTTTATTTTACATTTTAGATTTCAATGAAAAAAATTTTCATTATTATTTGATAAGCTGCGAACCAGCGTGTGATACATGCTCATAAATCATAATAACGATAATATTGGCCTTAGATTTATATTGTTGGTATCACAACAAGTCAACGACCGCGATTCAGAAATTTTCTCAGAAATTTAATAAAAATAAAAATTCCTATCCCTAACCCTAACCCTATATAGTTTTAAGTTATAACTATTTAATGTTATTATTATTATACTCTATGCTCCCGTCAATGATACAGAATTGCGAGTTCGAATGGGACTCTGCGACTCGCGGACGATTATTGGGTTCGTTCATGTACGGTTATATATCGACGACAATGGCGGGCGGCATAATTTCAAACAATTACGGTGCTAAACTTCCGTTCATGATCGCAGTRTACGGAAACATCATCTTTCATATGCTGTGCCCGTCAGCCGCGCTGATACATACGGAATTGTTTTTCGCGTGCCGTTTTATTCAAGGAATGTTCGTGGTAAAAAGTGTTATTAATTAACGTAGGTATACCTGCAGATACTTATAAATTATAATATACCATCTACAGCACGGTCACAAACAAAAAAACATGGACGCTGGGGGCATTGGCGCAAATAGTTTGGGGCTTGGAGGGGAACACTAAGCCCCCTAATGTTAATTCAACTCCCCCCCGGATTTATTATCGTATTAATGTAATTTTTGTAAATAAAAAAATAAAATTTGACTAGTAGGACTGAAGCCTCCTCCTCCTGTTGAAATTTTCTATATGTAATGCCTATGGCTGAAAGGTGGTGAGGCATTGGTTTTCCACCAGCTCATAGGTGTTACGTTGTAAAACTGTCAAATTATTGACTATTGTAGTATTGTATGATTCATCAAAAAGCATCACTATGTTGGCAGCCACACTAAAAAGTTAAAAATTAAAATGAGTTATTTTTTATTTCGATAGAATAGGAACCTACTAAAGGTTACTAATATACCTATACCGGCTATACCTGCTTTATAATAATAGCATAATACTACTATTAACGTCCTTGTYCGTTTAAAACATTATCTAAAGACTTAAGTTAGAATTAATCATCCTAATAAAATAGGTGCCTATGGCCTGTATAATATAATCATAAAATATGTACATGTGTAAGCAAATAGTTATAATACCTAGTGTAATAATTAAAATGCTTATCCTCAACCTCCCCCCCCCCCTCTAGTCGCACCTGTGGAGAGTCACGTGGTAATGTGTAGACACTTCTCCACCAGATTAGATTTCTGTATAGACATTTTAAGGGACTGTAAAATCTCGTTATACATACTTGGGAATTTGGGATTATACGA